TGCTGCACAGCTCTGGGGGCGGGATATAGGGGTCTGCGAGGTGGGGCGGGAGGGGACCCTCAGCAGGTTGGCACCAGTCCGGCTGCAAAACTTCCTGCCCTCCTGGGCATCCAGTTCTCCCCGTCTTCTCTTAGTGGACCCCCAAGTCCCTCTCAGTGCAGCTCCGTCGTGTCATCCGTTGGACTCTCACAGTCTCCCCAGGGCCACGCCCACTGAAACTGGGGACACACTGCGGCCCAAGGGAGGGGCGAGGAGAGGGCCCAGGGCTGCCCTCCAGGCTGGGTGAGTCTGGAAGCTGACCTGGGCGTAGCCACCTTCTTTCTTTCTTTATTTTTCTATAAAGTTATTTTTATTTGGCTGTGTTGGGTCTGCGTTGCTGCGCGCAGGCTTTCTCTAGTTGCAGCGAACGGGGGCTACTCTTGGTTGCGGTGCACGGGCTTCTCATTGCGGTGGCTTCTCTTGTTGCGGAGCATGGGCTCTAGGCGCGCAGGCTTCAGTAGTTGTGGCACGTGGGCTCAGTAGTTGTGGCTCACGGGCTCTAGAGCGCAGGCTCAGTAATTGTGGCTTGCAGGCTCTAGAGTGCAGGCTCAGTAGTTTTGGTGCACGGGCCTAGTTGCTCCGCGGCATGTGGGATCTTCCCAGACCAGGGCTCGAACCCGTGTGCCCTGCATTAGCAGGCAGATTCTTAACCGCTGCGCCACAAGGCAAGTCCCCAACTTCTTTAAAGTTACAAGTGCCTCCTTTGTATTGAGGTAGAATTCACAGAACTTCAAACCAACCCCTTTTAAGGGCATAATTCAGTGTATCACAGCGTCTTTGCACGTGCTGTTCCTTCCACCCTTTCCGCCTGACCTTCCTGTTGAACTTAGAGCTCCAGATGACCATCCTGTCCTCCAGACAAGCCCTTGTTGGGCAGGGGCGTTCTCCACCATGGAGGGGCTGTGGCCTGACCGGGTCTCCTGGACCACACTCAAACTCCCCGAGTGCCCACTCAGTAAGCACTTGTCGAATGACTGTGTGAGTGAGTGAACAAGTGAGCAGAGGACTTTGGGGGGTGCTGGCGCTGGGACCTTGTGGGCCAGGGCTGAGCCCTCAGGTTCCAGCCAGAGGGAGGCTCTAGAGTCGGGCAGGAGGGGACCCCAGCTTCTAGCAGCACAACAGAATCACCCGGCCTGGGTCGGGGCAGCTGCCTAAGGCAGGGTGCCTCTGTCTCCAGCCTGTCCCCAACTTGCAGTGTGGTCCCGGGCAGGTCATTGCCTCTCTCTGGGCCCCAGTGTCTCACTAGGAAGATGAGGGCATGGCCTGGACTGTCCTTTTCCCACTGAGTCACTTGAAGGGCTGGGGGAATCCCTGACCTCTCCAAATCAGCCCCAGGAGCGGGCTTGCTCCCTTTACCCTGAAGTTCAAGGGGCAAGTGCCAGGGGCAGCTTCTTCCAAGGGTTAACCAGTAGGGGGAGCAGCGTTCCAATCTAAGCTCTGCCCCTCGCTAGCTGTGTGACCTTGGGCTGATGGCTCAACTTCTCTGGGTCTCAGCTTACAGGAAACTGGGGATCATAAGACCTCGACCTCACAGGGCTCAGCAAATGGGAGCAGTGGCCTCCACGGGGAAGGCAGTAATGCGGTCAGAGTCCAGCTTGCTTGGAGACAGGCAAGTTGAATCGTTGGCCAAATTCTGGAAAGTACTGTAGGTCTTTCAAAACCGTTCATTTTCAGGGCTTCCCTGGTGGCGCAGTGGTTGAGAGTCCGCCTGCCGATGCAGGGGACACGGGTTTGTGCCCCGGTCCAGGGGGACCCCCCCATGCCACGGAGCGGCTGGGCCCGTGAGCCATGGCCGCTGAGCCTGCGCGTCCGGAGCCTGTGCTCCGCAACTAGAAACAACCCAAATGTCCATCAACTGATGATGGGATAAACAAAATGTGGTCTATCTATACAGTGTAATATATTCAGCCTTAAGAAAGAATGAAGTTCTGACACATGCCACAAGGATGAACCTGGAAAACATGCTGAGTGAAGGAAGTCAGGCACAAAAGGTCGCACAGTGTGTAATTCCATTGATCTGAAACGTCCAGAATAGGCACATCCATACAGATTAGTGGTTGCCAGGAGCTGGTGAGGGGAAATGAGGAGTGACATGGCTTTCTTTTTGGGGTGATGAAAATGTTCTAAAATTAGGCAGTGGTGATGGTTGCACAACTCTGTGAATGGACTAAATTCATGTACTGAATTGTACACTGTAAATGTTTTATAGTATGTAAATTATATCTCAAAGACGCTGTTATAACAAAAAAGAATGAGATCCGTCTGGTTTCTGATACTGCATGATCTGCAGGAAAATTGTAAAGAATTTGTTACCTTTTTGTAGAGTAAAGGGGAGGTGGGTGCGAGTGTGTATTAGTATTTGCTTGTGTTGAATTTATATTGTTTCTTCTTACTTCCAGTAGGAAACTGTAAAGTCGGCCACCTGGCGTGAGACCAAGATTTTTTCACTTAAACTTTTTAATTAAGATTTGAGTTTTGAGCCATATGAAACAACTTTTTCTTAAAGTAGTCAGTTGTGTCAAATGCAGCAAGGTCATAAGGTCATAAGGTAAGGCTGAGAATGTTAGATAATTGATGACTATTCCAGGACGGAGTCAGGGCCTAGTAGGGGCAGGAGTAAAGCAGCTCACGGTGTACTCAAAAGTAAATGAGAATCAGGGAGCTTTTGCCAAGGAAGTTGAAATGTCTGTAAGTTATATACCGATCCTAGCTGGCATATTTATAGAGAAGTATTTAAATGATTTGCAATTTATGGGTCTCTTCTGCTACTTTATGCTTTATTCGCACAGCAGATGGGCCCATCACAGAGCTGGCCATCAGGTTCCCTGAGAAGACGCATTTATGGGTCCTGCTGTTTTACGCCCTCTCTTTTCACTGACGGGCACCGCAGAACTTATCCCGCACATGTTTCAGAGTTAGGGAAGGCTGTCTACTGTCACCTAAGGAAAGGCCATCATGGAAATATTTTCAGAACTCAGGGCAGAAAAGGTCCACTTCTCATGAATGTGGTTTATTAATGTTCAAGGCTAATCACATAAGAGAGAATTTGGCTTTTTGCTGTGCTGTCAGGAAAATCAGAAACAAATGTATAGTTCAGCTAACTCAGGAGGCCCATGTGATTCTTCCATGTCGAAATACGAGGTATCTATTTGTTCTGGGGCTGACCTTATACTCCTAGACGTGTTTCCTTATGTCGTGTTTTTAAGAAGGCAGTCTCTACTTTTCCATCTTAATGTATGGGTCCTAGTGAACCTCTTAAATTTCAGTGCAAAACCCCCCACAAAGTATGGAAGAGTTAACAGAAACAAACTGTCACCACAAGAAAAGAGAAGGGGCTTCTGAAGGGCTGGCAACGTTCTGTATTTTTGGTTTTCCCCATTTGAATTCTATACACTGAGGTGTTAGGTTTGTGAAAACTGATTGATACACTTATGTGGAACTTTATGTATGTTTTAGTAAAAAATAAACAACCACAACAGTGGGGGATGTAAACAAAATTCCTTTCTGGTCTGGATCTACTCTTCGGCCACCAGTTGGGACGGAAGGGATGGACCCTCGCCGAGGCGCTCAGGCCTAACTCCTGGGCTCCCGACCCCGGGCCGACACTGGTGGACACGCGGCCTCCAGCGAGCGGGCGTAGCTGCCCCCGCGGCCCCGCCCGCTGCCTCTCAGGCAAGGCGCGGGAGTCGCTGGACGGAGCCGCCCACGGAGGGGTCACGCCCGAGACCGGGAAACCGCGAGCCGAGGCCCGGCGACGCCGGAAGCTGAGAGGAGAGGACCAGCCACCGGAAGTCAGTGGAGGCTTTGGGCCGACGCTCTATAACCCGGAGGACCGGGATCTCCGTGGTTGGATGTGACGGATCACCTTCTACCTGGGACGACGCTTTCCCAGCGCCGGGCTCCCGGGGCCCATCGGGAAAATGGGGAGCGCAATTCCCGGGGCGATAGGGGCTGATAAGGGAAGAGGAGGCTAAAGGAGGGGGACTGCGTGATGCGGCCGCCAAGGTAACATCTAGTCACCTCAACCCTCCAAGCTCCCAGGACTAGCAGCAATTGACCGGAGGACACCTGGCGGATCGGAGTGGATGCGCGGGACCGCGCACGCAGGGGCGGTGCTTTCCAGTCTCGCGGCGCCCGGGGCTGCCAGCGCGCATGCGTCCGAGGAGGGCACCAGGCCGCAGAGCCGCTGCGAAAGCCGAGCGCGGGTTGGGCGGCTCCCGCCGGGGGACTGGACAGCGGCGCGGGCGCGGGTGGAGGCGCGGCTTCCTTGGCCGGTGGGCGCGGATTGGACGCAGCAAGTGGAAGGGGTGGGCACCTCCGCGGAGACCGTCCACGGATTGGCCAGAGCCTGCGGAGGCGTGGTCTTGGGGAGCGGGGCGGGAGACCGCGCGCTGCTGAGGTGGTGGTGGTGGTGGCGGTGGTGGTGGTGGCGGCAGTGGCGGGGGGGGGCCGGCCCCGGG